ATGCTTGCACCCAGGAGGTGCTGGGTCTAATGGTTTAGGGTTTATGGTTTAGGTCTTGGGTTTGGGGTGTAGAGCATAGGACTAGGATCTCAATTTTAGGGACTAGGTTTCTTGGGTGTAGGGCATGGGTCTGATGCTTGAGACATAGCATCATAGCCCGTTGCTTCAAATCGGGATAGGGCTTCAATTCTTGGGGTTTGGGGCTTGGGCATTGCTAGGGCTTCCTTTTTCGGACCTTTTGCTTCAGGAAACTCCCGAATTCTTCAATGGCTTTCAGAGCCCTAAACCTTATGTATGGCTTTATCGTGTGCCATGGATCAGGTCCATATTGGCTCTGTCCATCCGGAGCGAGACTTTGAGCGGTGGCTGGGCGAACGGCGCACTGGCGGCGCAGCGCCTGGCCGTGGTTGAGGTTTTAGGATTCAGGGTTTGGGTTTTAGATGTTTAGGCGTCAAGGGTTTAGGTGTTCAGGTTTAGAGCTTAGGTGTTTAGGGTGTCGACGTTTAGGGTTTTAGAGTTTAGGCTTTAGGGTTCGGGGTTTAGGTCATCCTGGTAGGGACGTAACGGAGATTCATAGGGCCACTTAGAGTTGCAATGGAGAATCACTTGGAGTGTATAGGGAATGTAATAAGAGGATTTCAGTAACTATCCCCAACCCATATCAGGGGGGCCTTTCAAGCGTTATCAAATAGTCATAGGAGCCTTTTTCTGGGGTTGGCATGACCAACATACACTTCTTACCCTGGAATGCAGGTTTGAGTGGTTTGGCGGTATGGGAGCTTCTCAAATTCAAAGTAGAACTCGAAATTATGAAATTCCTGTTTTGCATTGCGTAAGGTACTGTTGTGCTTGGCAGGGGGCTTTGTGCACGTTTTTGAGGGTTTGACCCTGGATTGCCGCTGCTGCTGCCACTGCTTGCCCTGGCCATGGCTATGGCTACACTGACCGCAAAGGATTGTAAGAAGGTTGTCTGTCCCTTGGAAAACAGTGACCCTCCGCGTATTGCAGCAAAAGTAAGCCTGATAGTTACCACCACTCGTACTAGTTTACAATGATTAGGACCACCCGCGCGCCACCTCATCATTGCTATGTGTCAAGTCTTATGTTGCCCAGCTAGACAAGACAGACCCTCTAAGAAGCCCCTAACTTCCTGTATACTTCTCTCTAAAGGGTCCTTGCTGGATCTGTCCTATTTGGGGCCCCTAAAAATCTTCCCTACGCGAAGTCTTGATCTGCAGGATGTGGTTGGCCCAGCGATTGAGAGCCTCGGCTGCCGGCTATCCAAGAATTGGATCCGCTACAGCTAAGCTTGGGTTCCATGGTCGTGTAAAGTTTTGGTTTCTCCATACTGTTCCGTGCTCTTTTGGATTGTTTTGCCTTCCCATTACGCCCATCAAAATAGGGAGGAACCTGGAAATTATGTTTGGAGTCCCCCAAGGTAGATCTTTGGACAAACTTTCTCGAAATGTTTGTGTTTGCATTTGTCATCTTTGGAGGCCTTTGGAGTGAGGCAGGCGCTTGAGTGCAATGAGCCAAGGGGTTCCCAACTTTGAGTTTGTTCCTTAACGGCCAGACGAGCCAGCGCTGATGTCCATCCATGTCTTGCCAATGACTTTTCTCGCAAAATCTTCAAATGCAAGACCTCAGGCAGTGACCATGACTGGAGAGATTCGCACTTAGCCGTCAGTTCTCGCGCTGTGTTTAGCGGAGGCAGATGTGCGATATCATCTTGCGCTTCGCGGAGGAAGGGGAGGAGTTCCATGGCAAGGCAAGTGCTTCGTCCAGGATGGTATGCGAACGGCTTTTGGCTTCCAAACCAGGACAGGCCATTAGACCTTGAAGGCTCCTGAATCTACACTTATCATGATCCGGAATTTTCGGGTGTAGTCGCTCATACCACTCACATCGAGCAGTTCGTGCCCAACAACCATGTGAAGAAAACTCGTATATGGTAATGAAGTAGAGTACTACAAGGGCCTATTCTTAGTCTCCTTGTAATTACAAGCACCTCCAAGAGCCCTGAAGGTTATTTCAGTAGTTATTTCGGCCCCTACAGCATGTGCCTTGGTTGGGGTATTTCTTCCTAATTAAAGAATGCTTAACTCTAGATTGTCAATACCCGACCAAGACTTCTGAATAGAATCATCAGAAGCAACATGTATAGTTTTGCTGCCTTGTTTTGCGAAATCAGGCTGAGGCCACCCTTCACAAAAACATCCTGCCTCACATAGGTCGTAGGCGCGAAGGCATCTCTCAGGGTTTCGGGCAGTCAGTGATTTTAGAAAGTCCCACATCATCCCTTTAACCAATTAATGATGTGTTCTATTTAGGGATCCCATTGTCCTCATAGAGTATGATTATATTCTTTTTGGCTGTATACCTCTTTTGCTTAGGGTATTTTATCCGAGAAAACATCATCTTACTTGCTTCAACCACCCCCAAAAATCGCTACTCAGTTAAGGGAGTGACATCAGTCCAGTTCAGACGACCGCCCCTTCAACAACCCTTAGCCCCGCGCTTACAAGCAAGCCCTAAACTTTCGACTCTCAACCCAAAACCCTAATCCCCAAACCTTGCCGTCTCCATAGCCTGATCCCTAAGTGCCAATCTCAAGACCCTAATCCCTAAACCCAAGCATCCTTAAACCCGAATCCCCAAATCCTACAATCCGCTTGAGCCCGATGCGCCTGCCTAAATCCTACAACGCCTGGTTTAGGGTCCCCAAAACACTAATCCGTGGAAAGAGAGCCTCGAAAAGTGAGAGGCCCTTTGCTGCCTTGCCACGCTACGCAGGGGCTGCGTCCGCCAGAGGCTCAGGAGAGTGAGAAGCTTTTGTGTTCGCTGAGGGTAGAATATTGGGGTATACTGTATAGGGATTATAGTATAGCGGAAAATATGGGGGGTCCCTTGGAAGGGAATAATATATCTAGGGGTATCAGGGGCTAGGGTTTAGGGCTCAGAGCTTGGGGGTTAGGGTTTTGGGTTTAGGGTCTTGACAGAATTCAGTTCTGGTTTCAGGATTAGGGTTTAGCGGTTTCGGGATGAGGGTTTAGGGATTCAGGTTCAGGGGTTGGGGCTTTGGGCTTATACCTTGCCATACCTTCCCAAAACCTCGGAAAGAAAAGCAAAACAACAACAGCCTCTCCTACTTGTTAATCTCGACAACATTGTGGGGTTTCGTAGTATACCTGCCTAGCCGCAAACCAATAGCTGGCAAGAGATACAAGCCAAAGTGCAATGTTTGGTGAATGGATGTTTGATGGAGCCGGCACCAATAAGGAATGGAGTACAACAAAGGCGTGGTTGGCAGCGGTCAGAACGAATTTCATATTCACATCTTCAAGGAGTCTTTGGGAGCCCAACTACTGGAAGATGCAAGAGCAGAACAAAGCGCCAGAGCAGACAAAAACATGTGTTCCTGAGACCGAACCTCAGACCGGCGGCTGCTCAGTGGAATCTGCAATCAGCCACATAAGAGCTCTGCATCTGATTCGGGGACCGTCCTTCTATGGGTGCTCCTTGCCTGGAGTTGCATGGTTGCTCTTACCCTTGCTGCGGGCGGAACATGTCCGGTGAGTAACGAACACACTCTTGAAAACCATCACTTCCAACAAAGCCAGTTTTGCTTGCCCAGGATAGCACAAACCTGGAGGAAGATCGAAGACTTGAACCCTAAACCCTAAAACATAAACAGGCCCGGCAGTAAGCTTGCGCTGCTCAGGTGAAGCAGAAGCGGCTAGCTACAACGAGTCCTGGCCTCAGTAGTTATCCCTAGCCTCAGTACCTACTCCGATAGAATAGAGGCCTAGTGTAGTTGGTTGCCTGCTCCACTAAAGAAACAAAGCCAGACCTGCCTTGCAAGGGCCGTGGATGCCAATGTGATTTTGTTCTGTCCCTAGGATAGGCAGTCAAGTCTAGCGGGCACAGATGCTTCGATCCTGGCCGCCTGCGCTGTGGCGGGGCTTGGGTCTAAGGGGTGATAAGTGAGGAATGACCAAACATCATCGCAGGGATGATGAGGCAATGGAATGAATCACAGGTTTAAAAGTGGAAGCGAGATGGCCTACAGTATTACACAAGGAACGAAGAAAGACACCGAGGGCTGGAGCTGAGTAAAGCACAACCACAGATGGGCGAATAGTTGTCAATGTTTGCGGGTAGTTGCCACGAGAATAGCTGGGAGCATCAATTTTGCCATGCCATTACAAGCTTTTCAGTACACGGTACCATATAAAGAAGCATGAGCTGCAGTTCCATTGCAGAACGTACATCCATATTTGGACCCTATAGGATTTGCTGTCAAATTTTAAAAGTGCAATGCGTCAAGGCACAGTTGGTCATGGCGTGAGCAAGCCTCCAGCATTAGCTGCAGCTACACACGTTTGTGACCTCTCCTTTGTTACTTCCACCTGCATAGCAGTGCTGGGCGACGTACCTGCATGGATATGAAAGCAAATGAAAGCAGAAGCTAGGGTTCCCTGAAGCATAAGCAGGATGCCGGAACAAATTTCTACTGGGAGACCTTGCCAAGATGTCTCTTGAGGCGTCCAGTCTTGTGGTATGACTCGCCCTGGAGTATGAACAAATCTCGCGGCTCCTTCAGCCACCCCAAACCAAATGCCATCCTAAACCATATCCTCAACACGAACCCTTAACCTTTTTTTATTCTAAAGTGTGAAAAGCTAGACCCTGAACCATAAACCTGCTCCGAACATGAAGGTCCTACAAACAACCGCAGTCATCTGCAGCTTTGTCGTAAGTGCCCCCCCACTTAATATGTATGACCCATAGAGCTGTAGGCAGCCGAGCGCACAGCTAGACCTTATAGTCCCTGAAACCGCAAAACCCTAAACCCTGCACCCTAAAACCCTTGAACACTTGAAGCGTCAAATCCTACAACCCCTACCCATTCAACCCTTAAACCGCCAAACGGTATGTCCTCATTTTTAGCGACCCTGGCTGGAGATAGGTAGCACCCATTCTACTGTAACCCAAAGCAGGTTCCTCCGAAGAGTACGCCTGCGCATGACGAAGCGCTTAGGGCTGCTTTGGGACCGCATCGTCAAGGCCTGGAGGTTTGGAGAGCTCATTATGGGTTTCGGGGTTTAGGGCTGTGGGGTTTAGGGTTTCGGGGTTTAAGGCTTTGGGGTTTTGGGGTTTAGGGCTTCAGGGTTTTAGGGTTTCAGAGTAGAAGTAGTTTTTAGGATTTTCAGGGTTTTAGGGTCTCAGGGTATTAATTAGGAGTTTTTAGGATTTCAGGTTTTTAGGTGTTTGGTTTTAGGGCGTAGGGTTCCCTTACTACCTCCCAGAGGCTACCTGTTTATTAGGCTGGTAGTGTTCAGCTGAAAAAAATATTTATCATTCCTATCCCCGCCCCAGGTAGGGAAAAACCGAGGCGGTTAAGGGTTTAGGGTTTAGGGCTTCGCGGGTAATATCCTACAGCCTCTTATAAATATTGTATATATACACATACAACACTCTGTACATAGCGGGTTACTGTTTCGTGATAGGTCTGCCTGTTCCTTACTCGCCGCCCAGCAAGGATGGAGGCTTGGGACTCATCACGGATGCCGAGGTGGTTGCTATCTCAGCCTTAGGTTTTCAGGGTTTAGGGTTCAGCTTTCAAGGTTTAGCGTCTAGGAATGAAAGCATGGATCCTCATAGTCCCCATATAACCCATTATGGTAGTTTCTATTTCTTTTCCATTCCTCCATTCCCAGCTAAGCAAAGGCCAGGTTCACGCCATCAGGGGTGTCCAAAGCTCGTTTGTTCATTTTGTTTCGGTTGGCTTCTGCTGGAAAACGTGATTTGTGCAGGCATAACCTAATCCAAAAGTAAAGCTCGTCTTCTTCAAGTCAAATTTGTGACTCCTGGAGAAGGTTCCCCTGAGGGCACAGAGATCTGTGAGGTTTCAGGTTAAGAGGATGTAGCTTTTCATGGTTTGAGTGCTCAGTACTGCTTGTGAGAGAAAGGTTTGAGACACCCTGTGTTTCCCGTGAGATGCGCTGTTTTTCTTTAAGCCCGGCACCCTGAACCCATCCTTGATTGTAAAGCAGCCTGGAGGGTTCCTACCAGTCAGGTTCGCCTGAGCCCTTGCATGCAGGTCACCAGACTTGCGTGTGATGTTCCGTTCATTGGCATAATGTTTTTGTGAATGTACAGCTGGTCAAATTGGCACATTGGGGGGGGGGCAGGGGTGTCCCTGAGAAGAACAACATGTTACTTGCAGATGTTCGGCTCATCATATGCATTTAGAACTGTCTCTGCTGTCTCCTCGGGCCTTCCCGTGGAGAATACGGCGCCCTATATTGAGTTTCTTATCATGCTAAGGGTCCCTATATACGTTCCCCATCTGGGTCACAATTGTTCAGGCAAATTCGCACATGCCGACCATAACCAAATGCGTATTGCATTCCATTGTTCTGGTTCACCAAGCAAGACCACCCAACCCACATTACCGTTCCGAGGTTTAAGCTATTGGAAATAGTTTGATGTGGATTTCTGAAGATCAGGATTCTTTTGCTGTTGCCGGCATGTGCAGAAACAGGGTCCTGATTGTGAGAAGGGCATTGTTCAACCGACCGCACTAGAAGACCATCGTTCCTCCTGATAGCAATGGAGATTTCCCAAAATTGGGGGGGTACCTTTTGTGGGGTCCCCATTATCAGGATCATAGTAAATGGGGGTTTATATCGGGGGTCCCTATTTTTATGGAAGACTATCCGGTGTGGACACAGACTGACTCCCTCATGGCGCCTGAAGATTTTACAGGCTTGCGGGTGCTGGGCATGACGAACTTTTTGGGTCTGTGTGATATTGGGGAACGGGGTTTCAGAACAGGCGAGCATGGTTACCGAGGGATTCCAGCGGAAAGTGGCAGGCTCGTAGTTGTGGGAGCATGTGTCATTTTGCAAAAATGAGTTGTCTGTGGCGCAAATCGTGCTCCCGAGGTCACCAGCACGGTTACCGCAGCGGACGCGAAAGCTTTCCTGGAAGGCCAAGACTCCGAGATTCACAATTCAGGGTTTAGGGATTAGGGGTTGGAGATGTTACCCATGGGAAGAGAAAATGGAGAATTAAATGGCATCTGATTTAGGGTCATGGAATCCAAACAACATCCTAAGCATCGCCAGCGTCACTAGCCTATCATACTGCTACGTGTTGGAAAGCAGGCCTTTCATGAGCAGACGCTCTGGATCTTGAGCGGCATTTCCAAGTACCAGCACAAGAAAGCCCCAAAAAGCTTTCAGGAATTTTCTTTCATAAGAGAGATAAGGCTTATTGTCACATAGAAACTTGGTGTGAGCACTTGAGCATGCTATCTGCCTCCAAGCCCTTTAAGAGCTCCTGCGCAGCTTCCACCAAAAGGCCAGAACCCGGGTTCACAGGTTTTTTAAGATTAGGCGCCGTCTACATATCTCACAGCAACAGTATCCTCGCTGGACGGGCCCAACAAGAAGGCCGACAGTCAGTAAGAAAGGCCAAGCCCAAATCACAAAATATCAATCCCAGCATCCCCCGTTTGTGCAACCCGACACCTCTGCATATGGGAGTTCTTCGGGAGAAGAACTACTCGCACTCTGCGAAACTCCTGAGTGGCTGTTAGGGATTTTGAATTGAGTTACCCTTTCTGAAGGAAATCTTCTTCTGTACCAGATACCCATTGTATGGCGCCTCAGTTTGAGTTCCTGATGCAAATCCATGCATAACTGCCTAACCCAATTCCATTTCATTGTTCATCATCTTTTCGATTTGCTCCACTTTGGTACCCCCTAAACCCTAATCCCTAAACCCCTAAGCGTGATGTGTAGTTGCGTAGTTTGACCTAGGATTCTTACCTTGCAATGCTGTGTGACCATGCAAGCGGCAAAACCCTAATCCCTAATCCCTGAACCCTATAGTCCCCCTTAAGTAGATAGAATATGGGGTATATGGGCATCTTACCTTAATATACCCAAGGGCGTATTCTATCTACTTAAGGGGGACTATACACCCTAAATCCTAAACCCTAAATAGTAGCTTCCATTTTCTTTTCCATTATCCCTATATAACCCCTTTAAAGGGACCTATACACCCTAAGACTCCCAGATGGACCTGCAGGCACTGACCTGGCAACGACCTCGGCGGCGGGGGCTTCAGCAACAGCCACGGCACAGCCAGGTACGCAGACGCAATGTGAGCTGTAGTCTAAACTCCGTAAAGGGGGTTATATGGGGTATTGTATAAGGGACTACTAGAGGTGTTATGAAGGGGGATACTAGGAGTTTCGACTCTAGCTCATGTAGGCTTTGGTTGTCGTTCCCCTGAAGTCATGCAATTCCCTAAGCCAATATAAGATCATCATATACCCCCATATTATACCTACTTCAGGGGGACTTTCCTAAACCCTAAGCCCGATAGATCTACTTATAAGGGGGACTATAAGTCCCTTAAGACCCCCTTAAACTCCATATTCTACCTACTTCAGGGGATTACCCTAAACCCTAATAGATCTACTTAAGGGGGACTATAGGTGCCAGAAGTATGCAATGTGAAACCTAACTCCCACCCCTAAACCCCAAATCCTGAACCCTAAAATCCTAAACCCTGAACCCTAAACCCTAAACCCTGAACCCTAAACCCCAATCATCAGACTCTAACTCTGCTCCACGTCATCATCCTCTGCTCTTGAAGAGTCAAGCAGACCTCTGCCGCTTCAATAGAAAGGGGTTCCTCAGCTAGGACACTAGGAGGATTTATGGGTTTAGGATTTAGGGGTTTAGAGTTTAGGGTTTAGGGTTTGAAGGGTTTAGGGTCTAGACCCTAAACTTTAAACCTGCATGAGTTTGAAGATCATGGGAAATGTTGGGTATCTTGAGTCTCCTGTTTGTTTGTCAGGGTGTACTTAACCATGAACGCAGCATACCCATTACACACCCGGTATACCCGCTCTGCCCAACAGCTGTTCTGGCTTGAGGCCAAGTAACACTTTCCAGATCCGCCATGGGCGCCCCTCAGTCCAAGGGATCTGCACCACTGGGAGCTTCCGATGAGGCTTGCATCTTTACATTTCCTGATGGACTGTGGTTGGTGGGCGCGGACCGCTTCACTGATGATGCCTTGGTAGATTTCAAATTTCTGACCCAAGGTCAGCAGCTAGGTACCCCAGTAATGCCCGTTTGCCCTTTTTATTGGGGGTCTCATTATTAAAGCTGAACATTTGGAAAAAGGGTCCCCTTGTTGTTAAGGGGTTACTGGGGGACCCTAAGCCCCTGAACCCTAAACCTCCAAACCCTAAACCTCTAAACCCTAAACGCTTAAACTCTAAACCCCTAAACCCTAAACCCTTAAACTCTAAACCCTTAAACTCTAAACCCCTAAACTCTAAACCCCCAAACTCCTGAACCCCTAAACCTTAACCCACTTGGGAAACTAGGCAGCAAGAAGCCGAGGCTGGCCTTGAAGAAGGACTTACTTCGAATTAGTAGGGTTTAGGGATTAAGGTTTA